AATTAGCCTTCCGATGTGGTCCATTATTTGTGTTACTTTTTTTCATACTTTTTCTATTTCTCCAATCTCCATTTCTTTTGCCTGTTTTGTTTACTTCTCTGCTATGTATGTCATTTCTTTTATTGTTAATGCATCAAAAAGTACTATTTGATAATAAAAAATCTTCCAAAATTTCATTTTTCTGTGGCATTCTGCATTTTATTTCTTTACATAAAGATGAACTCTTGTCATTATTTTATCTTGTTTCTCCATTGACGGAAGGTGTAAGTTAATTCTATGGTGAAATACTTGTGCTTCATGTTGAATCAGTATCTACCGGTGGAAGGATCATTTGAACCATGGAAGGACCCTCTAAGCCCTATGATGAAACAAGAACATCGTATACCATTCCATTGTCTAAATATTAAGGATGTGTTTGAACACAGTGGAATCCCACCTCTGCACAGTGTTGCAGAGACATCATACAGTTTGAATTTGAATATGCTTCTTTTTTGCAATTACAATTAATGAATGACATATTTGAGGGAATTTCAATTTCAATCACGAAATGAATATTGAGAAGTTTTAGAAATTGTATTTTTCGTGTTTTTTTCACCTCTTTTATAGTAGCATTAGATGTGTTTGATTGCGAGCATGAAACTTGCACAAAAAGTAAATAAGTTCAGGAAAATATGATCAAGTGACCAACTTTTGAAAAATATTTTTTATGAAAAAAATGTTAATCAAAATACCTCAAAATTAAAAACTTTAATGAACAAAGGACACCCTAACGTTTATACAATGGCACAATATAATATGGAATATTATTTCTTAATTGGGTATACCTTTTTACCCCATTTTAGAAAAAGCAACGTTATTTATGGTCGTTCACTCTTGTGATCGTAATATGTTATATATACGTAACGGTTAATAATTTGATATATTAATATGGTAATTTTTTATTAACTTGTGCAAAAAATTGTTAATCGCAACATGTATATCGCGTAGAAATATTGCAATAATGAACGATCACAAGTGGTATTGTTATTTTAGGAAAATTATTGTCAGTGGGCCTGATTTAGCCCAATATGGCAAAACCCATACAGAATTTTGACCCGGACCGGGACTCCATTGTTAATCGTTTTGCGTTGAAGAGCAACTTTTGGTTTCTCCATTCGCTTTGCTGCCAAGAGAGACGTACTCAGAGAGAGATAAGGTAATGTATATCCTCTCGCATTCTTGTTTTACACATACATATCGGAAGATTTTATGCTTCTTTTGTTTCTTTCTTTTAATTTTGTTTTAGTTCATTTAGGTTATCCATTTGATATGCATTGACATGCATTTCGTAATACAATGTGAATATGCTTTCTTACAAATTTCTACAAACATATTTATGCAGCTTGAGGGTGAGGGTGAATGATATCGAAGAACACAATCAAAACCCGGGTGATTCCTAAGAATTCCGGAATTGATAATCAAATAGAATGCAGAGAACTGATTTTGATAAAAAGATTCGTTAATTCCGAAGAATATCAAATTAGATCTGGAAAAGAGTTGGAATAATATCAAACTCTCAAATTACCCAATTGGGAAAACTCAAAGATGGAAATAGTCCACAAATCATAGCAACCAAATATGGAAACTAATACTGCCCTGTATCAAATATATATGTGAAAGTTACTCTTTTTGGACAAAAATTGAACTAAAAAGAATATCTTTGTATATTATACTTTTGGGGCATAATGTATGGGTGAGAATGGAATCTTGGAGCTTAATTTATTTTCTGCCTTATCCTGTTCAATAACTATTTATTATGTTAGAAATTGGATTAATTATTTTTTATTTTCTTTTTTTGGTTTATTTAGCAGGAGAAGAGATTTTTTTATATTGTAATGTAAAACGGAAAGAGTGATAGATAAATTACATTTCTCAAGAGCTGGATAGGGGAAGGAATGTATATTTGATATTTGGTGGAATAGTTGGTGAAGAGAGTCAATTATGGAAATGGATTATCTGAATTTAGTGAACTCTGATATGTATTTTGACTTAGAATGTGCTAGGACCAAGGATAAACAGTTAGATGAGGAATTTGCGTTTGTAAAACAGCTGGAGAAGGAAACAGATATTGAACAGTCATACAAGGATTTGCTGCTCTGTCATCTAACTAAGGAGGTAAGGTTTGTGCCAAGTAAGAGGAAAAATGAAAAAGATGATATCAGTGAGCATGATGAAGACTGGAGTCGCGAGGAGAATGATCCCCAGTATGAGCTTTTCTTGCGCAATCTTGAGAAGCATGAAAAGTCTTATGTATTCAACCACAAGAAAAATGGGTCGTGTCTTTTCATTAGATATGAAGAAGATAGTGATTCAGAAGATGATGACTCTAATCCAGAGTCTCAGAGAAAATTAACGGATCACAAGCCCCGGAGAAAGCTAACAAATACTGTCGAGGGAGAGAAAATTGAAGCTATGAGATGCTCAAGTGATTCAATAATGCCAGATTCTGACTATCTTTTTTTTATGCAAAATACTAAAATTGAAGGTGATTATCTTATATTGTCGCACGATGATGGTACGATAATATATGAGAAGGATGGTATTGTGATTAGCCCGGAAAAGGGGGACAATGATGATGGTCTGGAAATTCTAGACATTGCTCCAGCTTGGAAGGATGAAACCGAAAATTTTATCTTTGTACGTTAGCATTCATCTATCACTATGCTGTCGTCCCCCCACCCATCTTGTCTTTAAATTTGAATCAAAGTACTAGTATTATTCATGTTGTATGATCTTGTGCAGATAGAGCAGGACAGTTCAAAAATGCACTCTGACTTCAGGGAAGAACTCGTGTGTATTCTTCAAAAACAATATGATAGAGAGGAGTACAAAAAGCTTCGGAAAGACGTTGAAGTCCGTAAGGCAGCACTTCGCCATAGGGAGTTGCGTAATGGGAGGGAAAACGCGTACTCTACAGATAAAGCTGGAAAATCTTATCTTGATCGCTATCCTGGTAGGTCGAAGATCCTGCATTTCTTGTTTGGCATTGCAATATTTCATCACATCTGACATTGTGGGATGTCATGATATGCAATGGTGTTTATTTACTGTGGAATTTGAGCTAACCTCTAATGTTCCTGAATGTCATGAGAATTTAATCATATGCTAAATTTCACTTAGTATTAGTTGTAAAACTTTATTTCTTAATCATTTGTGCTTTTATTGTTTCTCATTTTTTCAGATGCCGTTGCCACAAAGGGTTTTGTATCACGCTCTTCTTCCCAAATTAAGTGTTTTGGCTACTTGTGCTATATTTCATGTAAAGGCTTGAGATAATCTATTTCTAGCCTCTTGTTAAGCAAGTCCACTCTCCATCTCTCCCCCTTAAACAGTATGCCGATTCCCCCTGCACAAAACTAATAGCTCCAAGACATATCCACCATTACAATTTGTACACTGCACCTAACGCAATCACCCTCCCTATCTCCCCCTTAGAATTCTGAAAATAATAATAGCTGCAGATTAACCTGCTAATTTCGTATGAATGATTGTCCTGCAATGTGCACCACAGGTTGGTTTGAAATTCAAATTCATAAACCTAAAACTTACTCTAATTGTTTGAGCAACTTCGAAATGAACATATTAGAAAAGACATGTAGAAAACAACGAAAAAGTGTAGTCTGCACTAAATTTGTGAGGACAATCTATCATTCTATATTTTTCTCATCTTCGTATACGTCAAATTTCCGTTAATCTTCCTTTTTTAAATTGAAGAGCTTCATTCTGATTTTACTCTCATTCTCTCACTTTATTTAGTTTTTTTTCCTCCAGTTCAGGTTTTTCTCTGGAGTGACACAAATCTGAGATGTGTATCTTATTGTGTGCAGATCTTAAGGAAGCACTTATAAGATGCCAAGATGACAAACCAAGATGCTTGAACCTCTTGCGTGGATTCTTCTTTTGGCTTCAAGTGAGAATAACTTCATACATTTCATCTTTTGAATATACTATGCATCGAAAATTACTGTATGCAAAGAGATTACGGATAATGGAGATAACTAAATAGAAAGTCTTTCCAAGATGGAAAGTTTGTTACATTCATGGAAACTATATCGCACATCCAATAATCCCTTTTACATAAAGATGAACTTATGTTCTCCATTGATAGTTTTACTTGTGAGTTAATTTTCAACTGAAGAACTCGTGCTTCATGTTGAATCAGTGTCTAACTAGGGAAGGAGCATTCAAACCATGGAAGGACCAAGAATGCCTAGCAGTGGAGCCAATACGTTGCCCCCCTCTCGATCCTGAGCGAAAAATCAAACAAGCAATGAAGTGATGTACTGAAAGAAACTTATGCTTTTGGGGGAATGTATTTTCTTTAATCTCGTTTTATGGAGGTTCTATGCTATTTTCAACAGAGTAGCAGTTTCTTAAAATACTGAATTCGGACTAGTTTTGTTAATATCTCTGATAATCCATTTGTACATATCAACAATCTGTTTCTCTGGGTGTGAATTTGTTGGCTTTCTTGCTATGTTGTATACTGCTTTCTAGGTTCACTTGATTTATAGGTGTAGCAGTGAAAATATTTACCCTTGTGAAGGGACATGTGCACACCCCAAGGATAGGGATAGATAAAAAAACAAATGCTTTGAGCTGGTTGTGCTGGTGTTCCCCGATTATCTTACCTCTATTCGTTATTGTACATCTTGGATTCTGCGCGGTTTTCCCATGCTGAAGTTCAACATCCTTGCATTCATGTTGTATTGGATTTCTCCTTCATAAAGCAGCTTCCTGATGTAGTGTTCCATGTCAGACCCAATCAATCAAAGTGTGTATTCAGTCAACGGTGCTCCCTGGTTCCATTGCGCCATCAATATGTTGCTATCAATAGTTTTGTTACTACGATGAATTCTAATGTTATTAAGAAAACTAATAAGATAACTTAGTTTTGTAAGAGATCCACAAGTTCTTGGAAAAAGGAGTAAACTTTGTTGCAGGTTTCATCTGTCCACAGAAACTAATCAGTAGGGTCGAGGATAAGAGTGAGTTTATCCATGTGTTTGGTCGAATTCGCAAGATTCAGGGTCAATATAAGCTGTATAAATCCTAACATGTCTAGTGGCGCTGCTAAGCCACTGTCCACCATATTCTCTGCCCATATTTTTGCTTCACATGCACCTGAGGTTCGATTGGCCTTATGGGTGTGATGGGTGTCGTTGCCTGCTTGCTGTTTCCTGTTCTTTTCTTCTGTTGCTTCCTCAAGTTTCATTTGTTCTTCGACTTCTGCATGCTGCGATGAAACAGAAAATACACTTGTTTTTCTCAGTTCCCTTTTGCTACGTCTCCATCCCAGAATGTAGAAGTTTGTTGAAGCCTTATGAGTTGAAGTTGCTGCCATGGCTTGTTGATGATGCTATTATTGCCTCAGAATTTGAATGAAAGGCAAATGTTTCACATCCTCAAATAATTGTTGATAAGAACTAATTTTTTAACACACTTACTCCCACACTGTGACTGTCTGGCTGTTTTTCCTTCTTTTGCAAGTGTGGTGCCTCTTGTGTGGTAGTATTTTCTTTAAGGTCTGTGGGGAGAACATGGGGTATATTCAAAAGAAATACAAGAAAATTGTCCTCGTTTAGCACTTTTAAAATACTTACTTTTAATTTGAAGTAAAAAAAAAATACTAAAAAATACTTATTTTTAAAGTGACTCGAAGTCACAGTCATATAAATAGTTTGCTCATTTTTAACTTCGACAACTGAAATGTTATTTGTTATCAAAAATTTGTTCAGTGTAATTGGATACTAATTAAATGGATCTATGCTAGCAAATATGAAATCCATCCAAACATTCCAATCACTTAGAAAGTTAAACTTCAAAATTTCAATTTGCTCAACTTGTTCTCACAAATCTTTAAGTAAAAAAATGTTTGACAAAACCTATGACCTATCAATACATTGACGTAAGAAACATAAATCGCAACAAAGCAGCGATGACAAACAGTTACCATACAGAATCATAGCCTCGTTTACAGCACGTTTCTGCTGTCAATATCCCGGGATGAACTTATAGTACGACTAAAATTCATCATACTGATAGGCTTTACTAGATCATCAAGATCAATCACCTCTGCCTCGGAAGGGCTATCATCCCGTACTCGTTTGCTTGATGGGCAAATACTATGTTCCACTTCCTCGTCACCTATGTCCATGCTAATATAGTCTTCGAGTTTTTCTTCTTGACAAACTATGTTATTATTACCTATTGTGGGGAGCTCAATTATAGCTGTTCGGTTTCAGCAACATCAAATGGCCAAGAATCAAAGTATCGCCCTCGGACATTCTTCCCCTCAGACGAAGATTTCCTCTTGATTCCCGTCTTCCAGTTAGGATGGTGAAGCTTGTACTTGGAATCTTCGGGGACAGATACCCGTTGCTTCAAAAGCAGGACAGACGTAGGTGTGTTTCTTCCAGCACTGCAAGTACAGCGATATGATCCATTCACAGGAATTAAGATTAGTGGTAGTGTGCATATGGAATGTTGATCATTATAAACCAGACAACTTTATTTCCTAGTATTACTTAACAGGGAAAAAGGAAATTTGTGATTTGAATGAGTACCTTTCAAGTCTCGGCAAGGGCAGAGATATGATCTTGGTGTTTGGCATGCAGGCACTTAGATAATGAACAAGGTTTTAGTTTTTAGTTTTTCCTTCTTTAATACTCTCGACTGTTATCCCTCCATGTGTCTGAGTGCATGTAGGCAACCCCCAACTTTACCCATTTCAATGCTCCACAGCAGGTGAAAGATCAAAGATCTAAACTTAAGAGAATATTACAGGCAAAAACAAGCAGTACCTCATTGCCATCAGCACAATAGCCTTTGAGAAAACTTTCACAAATAGAGGAATTTGGGTTCACATTTAGAGCATAACACTGCCAAAAAACTAAGTTAGCCTTCTAAACATTAAGAACTAATTCAACAACTCAATAAAAAAACAACCACATACCTTGCAGATAATAAGAACAATCCTGCATCCTCTCCGGAATGACCTGTATGACATGTGGAGTAAAGGGAAAAAAAATGCAAAAGAGAGGCATTAAAAAACTGTATGATGAGTGTCATACAGAACAGGAATCACATCATACCTTGTGTGTCAATTTGCATTCAGGATTCGAACATAAGCCCTTCAGAAATTTTGTGCAGACTTCAATTTTTGAGGGGTCATGAATGTAAGCACACTTCCCATCATCTTTATCAAATCCTGTAAAAAACTGGCAGTATTTTCTCTTTCTGCTCAATCGCAATCAGTGTTCTAAAAGGCGCACCTAAGCACGACGCGCATTGAAAATGCCAAGCAGGGCATTATAAATCACGCTTCTTTTAAGTTTTAAACTAAAAATTAAACCCAATTTTCGTTTTTCAGTGCCCTAATTGAAGAGTGAAGACAACTTCCCAAAGCTCCCAAAATTTCCTCTCCAACTGCAACATCTCATAACTCTCTTACAACGGTTGCCTGCTCGGTCATCTTCAACAAACAATTTCCAGTTTCTATATGTCGGTAAGTTAGACAAAAAATGGGAAACAGTTGCTTGTTGAAGAATTAGTGGTTTTAACGGTTGAAGAATTTCCAGTTTCCAACTAAAAATTTAACTATTGCTTGCTTGCTTTGCCTTCTTCAACTCTCTTCCAATTGTTGTTTTTTGTTTTTGCCTTTTTGACAGTGGGTTTATACATTATAATATTGTCTCCATAGTGGGGGGTTTATAAAAGTACAGAAAATTGAAAATGAAAGAGATAGCGGGGTTTTCTCTAGTGAGTTAATGGAGTTGTAAGCTTTGTGGCTAATGAAAGAGACACTGGTTAATTCATAATGGAATTTTCCATTTTCTCTAGTGCACTGTACACTATCAATTTTACCAATTCTTTTTTCATATCAAATGGGGTTCGTAGGTGGAGAAAAGTATCATGAATTTGTTAGTGTATCTCACGAATTTGGCATTCGTTTTCAATATAATGTTTAGTATGTCTAATTAATAATTATTAAATAATTTTTTTGATTAAAAATTTAAAATAATATTAAAATAAGCAAAACGCTTTTTTTTTACGCATTTGTCTTGCCTAATCTCACCTACCCCCTAGCTTGGGGTAAATGCATTGCTACGCATTACGCCTTTTAGAACACTGATCGCAATCTGGTAATGTGCAAACTCCAACGAACTTTCTCGCTCGCTAGGATATGCCTTCATTTCTTGGGGTCTCTAACCAGCTGGTTGC